ACTGGGTGGCACTGGGAGGACACTGGGAGGACACTGGGTGGCACTGGGTGGCACTGGGAGGGCCCTGGGTGGTCCTGGGTGGTCCTGGGTGGCACTGGGCATGTTGTGGGTGACACTGGGTGGCACTGAGGGACACTGGGTGGCACTGGGAGTGTTGCGGGTGACACTGGGTGACACTGGGTGGCACTGGGTGGCTTTGTGCCCCGCCCCATGCGCTGCCCCTCCCCCGCAGGAGGCGGCCCAGCTGCTGCAGATGCTGCAGGCGCTGCACCCCCCCCTGCACATCGATGGCAAAAGCATCAACGTGGAGTTCGCCAAGGGCTCCAAACGGTCAGCGGGGCTGGGAACACACCTGGGGATGGGCAACTGCACCTGGGAATGGGCACAGCTGGGAATGGGGACACCTGGGAATGGGGACACCTGGGAACTGACCTGGGCAGGGGAACACACCTAGGGATGGGGACAGCTGGGGATGGGGACACCTGGGCATGGGGACACTTGGGAATGGGCACAGCTGGGCATGGGGACACCTGGGAATGGGAACACACCTGGAGATGGGCACAGCTGGGCATGGGGACACCTGGGAACAGGGAACACACCTGGGAATGAGCACACCTGGGCACGCAGCTGGGGATGGGCACAACTGGGCATAAGGACACCTGGGCACGGGGACACCTGGGAATGGGGAGCACACCTGGGAATGGGCACCACACCTGGGCATGGGCACACCCGGGCACTGCATCTGAGAATGGGCACTGCACCTGGGTATAAGCACACCTGGGCGCCACATCTGGGCACAGGCAGCACACCTGGGCATCGCGCCTGGGAATGGGAACCACACCTGGGTACAGGGACACCTGGGCACGGGCACACCTGGGAACACACCTGGGAATGGGCAGCGAACCTGGGAATGGGCACAGCTGGGAATGGGCAACACACCTGGGCACAGGAACCGCACCTGGGTACGGGTAACAAATCTGGGAACGGGCACCCCTGGGCATGGGAACCGCACCTGGGAATGGGCACTGCACCTGGGGATGGACAACACACCTGGGAGTGGGCACAGCTGGGAATGAGCAGTGCCCAGGAGTGGGCACCGCCCCTGGACATGGGCACACCTGGGCATCGCAACTGGGCAATACACCTGGCAATGGGCACACCTGGCAATGGGCACACCTGGGCACGGGCACCACACCTGGGATTGGGCACCAAAGCTGGGAATGGGCACACCTGGGCATGAGAACAACATCTGAGAATGGGCACATCTGGGCACTGCACCTGGGCACAGGAACCGCATCTGGGAACAGGCACACCTGGGAATGGGGAACACACCTGGGAATGGGCACCGCCCTCAGGAACCACCCCTGGGCACTGCACCTGGGCACGGGAACAACACCTGGGAATGATCACACCTGGGATTGGCCACATCTGGGATTGGGCACATCTGGGAATGATCACACCTGGGATTTGCCACATCTGGGATTGGGCACACCTGGGAATGGGCACCACTCTCAGGAACCGCCCCTGGGCACTGCACCTGGGCATCGCACCTGGGTACCGGCCCCGCCCCTGGCACACCTGGTATGGGTCCCTTATCAGACTGAGGCCACACCCTCAGACCCAAGCCCCACCCCCAACA